CGTTAGTTTATGGCCTTGACTTTGAGGGTGATTGCTCTTAAACTTTCCATGATAACTTTGATTTCAACTCAAAAGCCCTTGCTTGTTTATTGACTAACCATTTTCTCTGTCACCCTTATCACAGAAAATACCTTTGATCCGTTCAAACCCAATACCCTTTATCTGTTGCATTGTGCTCATGAATTGACATATACCGAACTTTTGTATGAATCCCAAAGCAACTCAATTGCCACCCACTCAGTGCGCATACTATTCTTTCTCGACTTATGCCACTTTGATATGCTATCCAGATTCCATTTTATGCAACTGAAAAGCTGGTAGCAAATTTTGATTTCTCGCTTGTTCTAACCAAACAGACTCAAGAAGAGGAAGTAAACACAACAAAAGAAACAGAGTAAGGGACAATGGAAAGAGATGATACCTAACAAGAAAATTACAAAGTAGAAACTTATCAGATGTGGATACCAACTCTAATGATCATGACATGCACCTTTGGATTAAGTGTCCTAATCTATGAAGCAAGTCTAATGTTCAACTATTGTTGTACCTCTGAGTCGTGAAACTGGGCTTCAATGCTCTGATTATCTTACCTAATTCACGGTCCTTATTCGACTTGTAGTGCCCCAAGTATTTTCACCATCAAGCCTCTCTCATTTTGTTCTTTCTCTCAACTTACCGTCGCCTTGTGGTGCCTGTGAAGGATTTCACCGATAAGACTCTCTCATTTTGCTCTTTTCTTCTTCTTTTTTCTTTGATTCTGCAGATGACAAGGCATTAATAATGATAGAAATATCATATGCTCCCGGCATGTCTGACTCGGCACTCTCAAAGATTATCTGGGAGGTCTTTTGGACTGTAATGTGGCTTTTGGACAGGGTTAGAAAGAAGGGATATCATAAAATCTCAAAATAACTAAGACAATAGGGTTAATTTAACTACAACTTTTGGAATCCATTATAAAAACTTTGCCCCAATTTCTAAAACAAGAGAATTTGATTTTTTTTTTATCGAGTTAATAAGAAAGATTGCCTCACTCTCGACTTCGTGGGATTATGAAATATTTTATTTGGTATGACCGAACCGTAAGGCTACCTACGTATCTTGTGGTGACAAGAATCAGGTCGAACGTAGTTCACAAGACTACTCTTTTTTTTCTATTTTCCTTTTTCTTTTTCTTTTTTTTTCCTTCTTTTTTTCTCTCTTTTTTTCTTTTTCGTTTTTTTCCTTTTATCTCTATTTTTTTTTTTTGAATTTTCCTTTTGGAATGAACTTTCTAAAACAAACCTATGGAGACGTGAAATTTTTTTTTTCATATGACTCTAACTTAATTCCAAAAGAGGGAAGGTCAAAGAAATCAGTACAGGCTCAAAAGGGGATCGAATAGTATAAGTGTTTAGGTAGCTGAAGGGCCTCACAATCTCTGAAAATACCAAGTACAACACATGCAACTTGAGAATGAAAAAGAAGATCATGCACAATATTTCTTTTACAGCTTCGGCATTTATATCACTGATATGCCTTCTACTTTTTTTAGTGCCTTGTCAAGTATAGAACCCTCGTTAGGTGATTTCCTCTTCACAATGGATATCCTCTGTCAATTCAGAGAAAACTTTCTTGCCTTTATCTTGTAACTTGAGATGCACTTGAACTCAAAGTTGCTTGCTTCAAGTTGTCTGGGATGCACTCTTCTTTAACGAATTCTTGTCATCCTATTAACTTTCCAAATTATCTTCAAATGATCTCAAAATGTCCAAATCTGTACTTATTTCCCTCAAGTCTTCATCTTCAACACTTGTTTCATTGCTTCATGACTAGACTAACTTTTAAGATCAGGCTAAGAATTATGCGTACATGCCATGTCACTAGAGTCAGCAAGAAAAGAACTATAAAAGGAAAAGAGAACTAAACAAAAATGACTAAAATAAAAGAAAACAGAAAATTGCATTAGACAGATGGTGACAGGGTTTGAACAACAAAACACACTGGGTTATGATGATAGGCTATAATTGTGTATTCTAGTCGCTTATTACACTCTAATTTACTGCACTTTAAATGAGTTTGAGATTTAATCACTAGAGTTTTGCACTAAATATGTGTTTTGCACTAAATATGTGTTTTATGCCTTGTAGGAGTGATTCCGATCAATGTAGGCGTTATGGAATGAATTCAAGTGATTTGGAGCTTTGAAGTCTAAGTAAAAGCCCAAGAAATTAAGCCGGAATCGTGTTCGGGGATCAACGAATGATAGTTAAGAACGAAACAAAGAATCGAGCGGGCATACAACGCATTGTCTAGTAAAATGCACATAACGTTTTGCTCAGAACTCTGTTTGGGTCCACAATAAATCGTTGGAAAGCTATTCGAAAGGTTTACAACTTTCATGTTTTGCATTTTTGCAAATTCTCACTACCGCGCCATATGGGACGCCGCAGGGTGCGGCACAGCAGTGTAAAAAATGGCCTGACAAGAAAAATGCAAGGCTGCTGATAATCTCCACTAGCGCGCCGCAGGGTGCGGCGCTCTTGTACAAATTTCACAGTGCCAGAGTCCTATTTCGCGCAGGAAAGGGTGTTTCGTCTGGGCCCGACCCTACTTGGTATAAATACATATAAAATGCTATTTTGAGGACTTTTGGCAGAGCTTAGACCTAGAGACGCCACTTTGGAGGAAAAATACACACAAGAAATATCCGGGAGCAAGAACATCTCATATTTCTTCATCTTTTCTAGTATTTTCAATTATTCAAACCTTATGCAAGTGTTTTCTAGTATTATGAGTGGCTAAAAACCCATTGTTCTGGGGTTGTTATTTAGCCATGAATATTGTTATTTAACGTTGACTTAACCTCGATTATAATTCACTAATATATGATTGTTTTTTCAATTCTGTGATTAATTGCTTAATTGTATGGCCAGCAGTTAGGTTCTATTTACTATCTATGTTATGCTTAGGAATGCCATGTTTAGATTAGAGAAGAATTGAAGAGAGCATGATCTTAACCCTTAGGGGGCGGATTTGTGGTTAGGATAGGAATATACCTAGTCACTGTGCTTAATTAAATATAATAATTTTAATGTGTTCTTAATAGATTGATTCCATTGGAATATAGGCGTTAATCTATTTTGAATAGGCGAGTAGTACTTCGGGAGAAGGCTATGAGAGCAATTATCGATTAATTAGCAACCATGAGTGAATTGTATGAGAGGAAGAGTTAACTAGAACACAATAGGATTGGTGAATCGATCACAACCCTGGAATAGTTGTCTCTATTGAATACATAACAATCATTCTATTGCTTGATAATTTAGTTATTACTTAGAATTGTAGTTTAGCATAATTAAACTCTTGAACTCAAATTTAGCTTGACGGAATAACAATATTGGTGTGTTAGTGAGTAGTTGATATAAGTCTCTGGGGGTTCGACACTCGACTTATCATTTTATTACTTGTACGACCATGTATACTTGCGTATGCGTTTGGGAGCAACAAGTTTTTGGTGTTGTTGCCGGGGACTTGAATATTAACTACTTTGTAGTTTTTGCTTTAATTGTTTATTTTGTTGAGTCTAACATTACTTGATTGTCGCTCAGATCTCAGGAACTTTGATTGAATACGTAGGGTCAGAAGCCAGGACCTACTTCAAGGCTTTGATCCTGAACCTGAGAGAACATTTAATAGGAGGTTGAGGGAATCAAGGGACACGAATAATATTCAGGCACTTGTTCAATTTCCTGGGAACATGGTAGAGGAGAAACACATGGCTGTTCAGGAGGTGGCGATGCCCAACATTGCAAATATTACCTCTAGCATTGTGAAGCCCAGAATCACGGGGCACTTTGAGCTGAAACAAAGCATGATCCAGCTACTTCATGCGAATGGGCAGTTTATGGCTCTTCCACATGAGGATCCACAACAGCATATCCTGAACTTCTTAGATATTAGTGACACTTATATCACTAACAGAGTCACTCCAGACTATGTAAGGCTCACACTTTTTCCATTCTCACTGTTGGGTGAAGCAAAGCGATGGTTGAAGGCAGAATCAGCTAATTTTATTACCTCATGGAATGATTTGGCCAAAACTGCAAAGATTAGAAGTGAGATAGTTGCCTTCAAACAGAAAGGGGGGGAGTCTTTATACTCAACTTAGGAGAGGTTCAAGGGGCTAATCAGAGATTGTCCTTATAAATCAAACAAGATAAGTATTAGCTCACACTTTCATAGAAGGTCTACATCCTGATACAAAGATTGTGGTAAATGTTGCAGCTGGAGGTCAAGTGTTGGAGAAACGCTTTGACGAGATATGCATTATTTAAAAAATTCTCCAAAAGCAATCCGGATTGGAAAGGAGAGATGGGGATACACACTGTGCAAAATCTACAGGAGTTCTTGAGTTAGATGTCTTCTCAGCATTATCAGCGCAGATTTCTACATTGGCCAACCAAGTCAATTAGATGACCTTGATTATCAACAAGCAACAAGCACAACAGGTACAACAGGTTCAAGTGTTTTGTGAAATATGTGGAGAGGGTCACACGAGCGACATATGCCCTGCTAACCCAGAGTCTTGTCTACTTTGTGGGTAATTCAAATAGGGGCCAAACAAACCAATATGGAAACACTTACAATCCCAACTGGAGGAACCACCCAAACTTCTCTTGGGGTGGAAACCAAGGTACTCAGAATAAATACAGGCCTCAAGCAACTCAACAGCAATATAGACCACCTCAGGTTGAACAACAAGCGAGTCCAACAAATCACCTTGAAGACATGTTGAAAAAAGTGATGGCTGAGCAGCAACTTAAAAAGTGATGGTTGAGTAGCAAGCCCTCTCTTAGAAAGTGATGGCTGAACAGCAAGCCCTCTCTAAAAAATTTATGGCTGAGCAGCAAGCCCAAGCCGCAACAATGAGAAATTTGGAGCGCCAAATGGGATAGCTTGCCAGTGCTCAAAACACTAGACCAGCTGGAGATCTTCCAAGTAACACTAAAGCTAATCCTATGGCATCCCTTAATGTCGTGTCATTGAGGAATGGGAGACAATTAGAAGAAGTTCAGTCTAAAAAGATGAGACATGTGACTTTTAATGAGAGGCCAACCGCTATAGAATCAACATCAGAAAAATCTAAGGAGTCAGAGAAGCCAGCTAGAGAGGCGGTGGCTTAGCAACCCCCACCATTGGTTGCAAGGCCACCACCTCCATTCCCTCAAAGATTTTAGAAATTAAGGGATAACGCTGCATATAAAAAGTTTCTTGATAATTTAAAGCAGGAGCAAATTAATATTCCATTTGTTGACATCTTACAAGAAGTACCCAAATATGCAAAGTACATCAAGGACACAATGGCGAATAAAAGGAGGCTGACCGAGTTCAAAATTGTGGCACTCACTGAGGAGTGCAGTTCAAGAATTCAAGGCAAGTTACCTCAGAAATTGAAGGATCTAGGTAGTTTCACTATTCAAATATCGATTGGTAAACATGTTGTTGGGCGAGCTTTATGTGATCTTGGAGCGAGCATCAATTTGATGCCACTATTTGTGTTCAGACAGTTGGGGTTGGGTGAGCCACGCCCAACAACAGTTATCTTACAATTGGTTGATCGCTCTCTTTCTCATCCTGAAGGAGTGATTGAAGATGTGTTAGTTCAAGTGGGTTCTTTCATTTTCCCAGCTGATTTCATTATCTTGGACTACGAGCCTGATCAGGAAGCCCCATCCATTCTTAGCCACGGGCCGAGCTATTATTGATGTTTGTGAAGGAAAGATGACGATGAGAGTAGGTGATCGAGTGGAGGAATTCAATGTTTATAAATCACTCAGGTTGACAGCCCACTATGAAGAGCTATCCATGATTTCTGTGGTGGAAAGCGGTGCTACATCATTAGTGCCTTATATGAGCCCTATAGATCCTCTTGAACAAGGTTTGATTGGGGATGAAGAAGATAGTGAAGATGAAATGATGGGAGAGATTGAGCAAGTACTTGATATGTCCTGCAATTATATCCATGGGTTTGGAATATTTGAGGAGTTGGACAGGCTTGTCACTCTGACCCCTCCTAAGTCATCTATTGAAGAAGCCCCAAAGCTAGAACTTAAGCCTCTACCAGCGCACCTGTGTTACGCTTATTTGGGGAACTCTGAGACATTTCCCGTGATTATCTCTTCCAGCTTGACTAACACTCAAGAAGAAAAATTGCTCAAAGTACCCGTGAGCCTAAAAGGCTATTGGGTGAACTATTGCTGACATCAAGGGAATTAGTCAATTATTTTGCATGCATAAAATATTTTTGGAGGATGGAAACCGCCCCAGTGTGGAGCAGCAAAGAAGGTTAAATCTCATTATGAAAGAGGTTGTAAAAAAGGAAGTAATTAAATTGCTCGATACAGGTATCATCTTTCCTATTTCTGACAGCAATTGGGTAAGCCCAGTTCAATGTGTGCCCAAAAAGGGAGGGATGATTGTGATTGAGAATGAGAAAAACGAGCTAATTCCTACTCGCACTATGACGGGGTGGAGAGTCTGCATTGATTATAAAAGGCTCAATAAAGCAACCCGCAAGGACCACTTCCCACTTCTATTCATTGACCAAATGCTAGACAGATTAGTCGGGCATGAATATTATTACTTCCTTGATGGTTATTTGGGATACAATCAGATTGTCATATGCCTACAGGATTAGGAGAAGACCACTTTTACTTGTCCTTATGGTACTTTTGCCTTCAAGAGAATGTCGTTTGGTCTTTGTAATGCACCAGCCACTTTCCTGAGGTGTATGATGGCTATTTTCACCGACATGGTGGAAAAAATCATGGAAGTGTTTATGGATGATTTTTTAGTTTTTAGGTCTTCTTATGATGATTGCTTAAGGAATTTAATCAAGGTGCTGGCCCGTTGTGAAGAAACAAATCTGGTACTGAACTGGGAAAAGTGTCATTTTATGGTACAAGAAGGCATCGTGTTGGTCATAGAGTATCTAAGAGCGGCATTGAAGTTGATAAGGCAAAGGTGGAGGCGATTGAAAAATTACCTCTGCCTATTTCGGTGAAGGGTGTCCGGAGTTTCTTGGGACACGCGGGATACTATCGGCGCTTTATTAAAGATTTTTCAAAAATTTCTACTCCGTTGTGCATGCTGCTTGAAAATGATGTAACTTTCAACTTTGATGATGCTTGACTCAAGGCATTTGAAGAACTCAAAAAGAAGTTAGTGTCTGCTCCCATTATTGTGGCACCTGATTGGTCCTTACCATTTGAACTTATGTGTGATGCAAGTGACCATGCTATTGGGGCAGTGTTAGGTGATAAGTTAGGATTTTAAAGTGTTTATGTCCCTACTTGCCTATGTTTTGAGTATAAATTGATACAAAAACAATCCCAAAATGCTCACAAGTTGTGCTTGATTGCAGGGTTGATTGACAAAGTGACGAAATGTCAAGGATCGGCTCAAAAAGAGTGAAACCTGCTCAAGTATCAAAGACCAAGAGAAGTGAAGAAAAACGGGGCCTAGTGCGGACCGCGTAACAATGACCGCGGCCGCACTATGAGGTTCAGAGACTGGACATTTTCAAGCTTAAGGTCACGCAGTCGCGGTACAATTCACCCGGCCCATGGAGAAGCTCCGCGGCCGCACTCCTGCTCTGTGCGGTCCGCGTTCATAGGGTTCAGCAAAGGGCATTTGTCCTCATGCGGTCCGCGGTCACGTCTGCGCGGACCGTGCTAGTTGCCTTCACGGCCGCATTACACTCCCACGCGGTCCGCATCCCCCAGTTCAAGTCATCAAACAACTGAAGCCCAAGAGCCAGTGCGGCCACGGTCCGTTTTGTGCGGCCTGCACTGACCCCACAAGGGTATTTTTGTCCAGTTTTTCCAACCTAGTATAAATAGAAAATTTTACTATTTTATTAGGGAGAGCGGTTAGATCTGAGAACAGAAGAATAGCTGCGCTTGGTGTTGTAGCCATTTTTGGCATATTTGCTTCCCATTAACAATAGATTATTGTAGTTTCTTCTTAGTAATTAATTAATATGTGTAGTTCTTCATCTATTTCTTCATTTTCTTCTTTAATTATGTGTAGCTAAACCCATTAGCTAGGGTTGTGGCTCAACCTTAGTGTGGGTAATTGATGGGTGTTGCCATCTAGGGTTAGATTGACTATGGTTGTTTGTTATTTGGGTTGATTTTATGATTTAATTTAGAATTGGTGGTTGTAAACACTGATTCAAGCTTTGTGGGTTTAACTCTTCTTGAGAAAGAGAGTCTATGACCTCAAAATTGACCCAACAAGGAATTGGGATGGACTCATGAGAAATGATAGTCCCAATTAACGGGTTAAATCTCGAGAGAGTAATCACACTACTCGAACCCTAATTGTTTGGTCTAATTTGCCAACCTAATTGGTCTCAAAAGAGTCAATTGGGAAAAATTACTCTCTCTACCGAGAGGTGTGAGAGTGGATAAAATTGTGCAACGGTTATAGCATAAGCTCCAAATAAGTCAATTTAACCTAAGTAACATCTACCCATCAATTAGCCACCAAGGTAATGCCACGACCCTAGTGCTCTTCCTTCCCATTAATTACAACTTAGCAATATTCTTCTAGCATAATCTAGCTTTAATCCATAGTTTTAAACTAGTAGTTATAAATACAAAAACTCAAAAGATGCTTGAAGTGACATTAGAAGCACAACCGCAAC